ATGTGCCTCGATGCATCAGCACTCCTGTATCCCTTGGGTAAATTCCTAGCAGGAAGCACTCACTGTTCTTGATATTGCCACTTGAGAGCTATTTCTCCTGTGTGATTTTATGAGTTTGTCAGTGACAGTATCCTTGACTTCCCTGAACCTTGGTTTCTTTGCTTGTATAGTTATGTTAATAGTAGTAGTTAATTTGTGCAGTTGTGAGGATTGCGTGAGGTAATAGATTTCGGAGACCTAGCCAGAACCTGGCACAGTTGTAAGTATCCAATAAATAGTTGCTATCATCTGTATGTACAGTAAGAACAGTAATATGTTTCCTATAGGACCTAATAGATCTATCTTGTATATAGAGGCATATGTGGTCTAACTATTCAGTGTTTTTGTAGAATTTTGAGTTTGGGTGGAGTAAAACCTTCTTCTGGTTTGTCTTCTGGTTTGATGGCTTTAATTCTACAAAATCCTAAATCACCCTTGGTAGCACATTGTCTGTGACAACCTCTTAACTTGAATGACTACAGAGTTACCAGGTGTAAAAGTTTTCTGTTGTTCTACAAACAGGATAGCAACTATCAATGACATTAGTTTAGAAATATCTCAGGAATTGGAAGAATTGGACATGATAGCATCACAGGACTACTTTCAGCCCAGGTGGAGCAGGTGAGGATGGGAAGATGCAAGCATCACCTAGTGATAATTTCTGACAGTCAGAGATAACTAGGAAAGCCATGCTTTCTTCCCAGTGGTACTGGCTATGGGATGGATTGTGAGATATTCCCAAGACACTTGCAGTTTGTTGGGAACTTACACCATCTGTCAGAGAAAGGCATGCAGGGTATTTATTTTAACACATGATACTGAGGCCACTGCCAAATCAAGGACTCAATGCCCTTTGACTCACACCTAAATGAACACTGTCAAATGTAGATTTCAGGTTTTACTTGATACAATTTTAGTAGCAAAAATGCAAACTTTATTTTAATAATATTTAAAACAGTCACTGTAAATATTTTTCCCCTATTTGAGTGTAGTTGAGACAATCACCTTTGCTTATGAATTCTAGCTATTTTAGAAAAATTGTTGCTTTTCCTTTGGAAAGAAGTTTTTGGTGAAACTTTGGAATCAGTTTTTGGTGAAATTTCTAGCTGAGAGGTCTTTATGTTATCTTACTTTGTTTTACTTTTGAGTCTAAAATTTTCTTACAAGTTAAGCAGGTAACTCTCCCTGAGTTCTTTCAGCATTGTAGACTCTTCCAGTTTTGCTGGATTGGAACGCTTGTCTGTCAAGTTTCTTGTTTTTTGTTTTATGTGCAAAATAATACTACACCCTCAACCTTCGCATCTTTCCTAAGTGTTTGCTGTCATTTAATGAGTTCTAGTTTTAAAAATAGCCATCAATCTTCATGACACATCTCTGAGACAAGTAAAGATATTTTATTGAAAATAAATATCCAAATCCACCCGTGAGATTCTTATCAACAATAGTATATTTTCGTCAGTAATTCTGCTTCTGTTGATCCTGAAGACAGGTGTTCTGTGGGAGCAGCAAGAATGCTTCCATTTGAGCTCATTTTACTTTTGATATTTTTGTAACTTGGCATGTACAGCTTATGAAATATTTGGTTGTCACCTTGAGAAAGCATGCCTTACCCTCACTTTCCAAGGCGAAGTTAGTCTTGCTCTCTTCTCGTGGGCAAAAAAGTTGACGTGTAGAGCAACTGAGAAGTAATGGATGACACACAAGCACTGTCACCAGGTTCTTAAGGAAACTTAGGACCATGTTCCTTCTCTTCCATCTGAACACAAGACAGAAAAGGAAAATTTAGTTACTGGTAATGCGTGAGAAGACAAAGGAGGATGCTTTGAATTTTTGCTCTGTGTCATGATTTCCTCCGGCAGCTCTTGAGAGCCAGTATCTTCTTTACTTGAGGAATATTTTATTCTACTGTAGTTGTAAGGATCCCCACAGAAGTTCATGGCTGGGGCGCCTGGGTGGCTCAGTCAGTTAAGCGTCTGACTTCAGCTCAGGTCATGATCTCATGGTTCATGGGTTCAAGCCCTGTGTCGGGCTCTGTGCTGACAGCTCAGGGCCTGGAGCCTGTTTCTGATTCTGTATCTCCCTCTCTCTCTGACCCTCCCCTGCTCATGCTGTCTCTCTCAGAAATAAATAAAACATTAAAAAAAAAAAGTTCATGGCTGTGTGCATACCAGCGAATTATAACTTCCCAGAGGCCATCACTGAAAGTATCAAAAGTGCTTAAGGGTGGTTGTTCAGGATGGGAGTAGGTACAGAGAGTGTACTGTGCCCATGTGCATGAGGGATCTTTTCGGATTGGTGGAAATGTTCTAAAATTGATTAAGGTGATGGTTGACGAACTCTGTGACCATAATAAAAATCATTGACTTATATTCTTAAAATGAGTGAATTTTACCTCAGTAATGTAAATTAAATTATACCTCAATAAAGCTGATAAAAATGTCTGAAATTCGGGGTGTCTTGCAAGGAACCACCTTTCTGCTTGATATTTGGGCTGCAGAAAGCGGCGGCATGATCTGAAGGCTTCCCCAGCTGTGTGAAAGTGTATGCTAGAGTGAGCAGGGTGTGTGTGGACGGGAGGCAACTAAGGCAGGAGCTGGAGGAGACAGGGATAGGCTGAATCTTCCTCATGAGGCAGGGGGAGGCATGGGATCACAATGTGAATAAAACGGCACCATTTTTTGTGGTGTTGCAACTTCAGTTAAGTCCCAGAAGGTAGGGTACGTTCCTCTCCGTGGGCTTTGAAAGCTCACTCTCTGAATGACCCTCTTTGGTTAGGTTGACAATGACATGAGTTTACAGAGATCTTACCTTAAAATCCTATCAGCCCATATAATCTATCTTTCATTTTTTTATTTTAAAAATTTCTTTACTTAAATTCAAGTTATTTAACATACCATGGGCGTTTTGGTTTCAGGAGCAGAATTTAGTGATTCATCACTTACATACAACACAGTGTCATGATTTGCTCATCCCAACAAGTGTCCTCCTTAATGCCCATCACCCATTTACCCCATCTCCCCACTCACCTTAAACTGTCTTTTAAATGACTTATCAAAGGTACTGTGCAGATTTGGGTAAATATATTTACACAATCTTTCTGTGTAACATCAATATGACTGATGTAACAACTGCCTTTTTTTTTAAAATTTTTTTGCTTATTGCCATTATTTAGCAAGATGTAGAAAATAATGTGACAGGTTTAAAAATTTTCCAGCTTCTTAATTTTTTTCATGATATTTTCCTAAATCCTGAATGAAAGCAACCAACCTTTCAGTGTTTGATTTACTGAAGAATTTCGTTGGCTTTGCTTACATATATTGTGTGACTTGAGATAAAGCTGCAGGACTCCCTCAGTAGCTGGAGCACAGGAAACAATTGACACTGTTTCTTAATTCACATTGTTTCTGAGACATTTCCTACTTCCTAGTATAATACAGCTTTCCCATGAGAACAATTTGCTTGCAAATGGTTAGACATGATAAATTTCTCACTGGCATTCATTCTGTGAGGAGAATTTCACTGTACTTTGTAATAGTTGAGTTGGTGTGTGTGTGTGATTCTGTGTGCTGGGAGGGGGGAGTTTCACACTTTATATAGATGCCTCCAACCTCGTTCCAAACACCAAGACTTTTTTGGAATGCTAACCCATTCAGTTAGGGATCTGCATTCCTTAGTTGGAGGCTCTTTCCTAAAGGAGCATATCATTGTTTTAATCCTTCCAATTTAAGGGATCAACCCTGTGAATTATAGTGTTTTTAGATATGCCTGATGAGTGACTGTGGAAAGTGACTCACAGCCGTTTATATGAGGCACCATGTGTGTACACGTATTGCATGTTAGGTGTGTGATATCATCTGGGACACTGAAGTGGTCATCTAGGAATACGTCGAGAATGGGAAAGGAGATGAGGAAGATGATATAATCTCATCTAATTTGCAGTTCAAAAAGAAAGTTTTCACATTACTTTTGAGATGGTGGTTCCCACATTCAGAAGTTGTGCTGTATATAAAGTGAAAGTAAAAGTTTCCCAATTAAAAAAAAAAAAGATGTGGAACTTTGAGTTCCTTTTTTCTTCCTGTCTTATCAGATTTTGTAAAAATAATACCACTTGTCAGTTTTGCAGCTTCTACCATCTAGAGAACTAAAAGCATTTCACAATCTTTTTTCCTCATGCCCTTCTCTTCAAGGCAATTTTTGCTGGGCTGGGTTTATTTTTATCATTGCAACAACCAGTTTTTAGAAAGTTTTGGAAACGAAAAAAGAAAAACGAGAATGGCACTGTAACGGACATTCATTTTAGCTGTTTCCTAGTGTGAACATTTGAGTATTTCTGAAATCTTCTCTCCAAGTAGGTCTTATTTTTTCTCAATTTGTCCCAGTTCTAAGTCTCTATTCTGCTGATTTCGTGGAAAAAAAAAGTTTTAATGCAAAAGCTTATCCCCAGCAGAATGACTTCTTGAACTTTGAGTTAGATATTTATTTTATTTTTTTTTGCTGCTCCAAGACCTCCTTTTTCGGCACTCAGTTCAGTATAATCACAGACTCATGGCAGGCTAGAACTGGGAAGGCCTCCCAGGATCACGAATGTAAGGCTCTTGTTATATGAATGATGAGATTAAGGCCCAGAATGGTTAAGGGATGTGTTCAAGGTCGAATAGCTAATTGAAGACGGAGCTATGACCATACAAGGCGTCTTGATTTCTGGCTTGGTATTTTTTGGTTTCCCTAGAGAAAAGTCCTCTATACTGGAGTATACTCTCCCAGAATCCCAATGCCAGCCAACAGGTTGAATTACACTCTCGCTAACTGAAAACCAGGAAGAGATTTTATCTTTCCAGTTTGTCAAATGTAAAATGGTAACGAATTCATAGACATTTTCTTCTGACCTGAGGAGCTTATGAAATTTAAATGCAGCAGAGAATGTGATTTGAAATGACTGATGATCTGTGTACCTTTCTTAGGCCACCACACCATCTACATTGGGGTCCATGTGCCGAAGAGCTACAGGAGAAGGAGACGCCACAAGAGAAAGACAGGGCACAAAGAAAAGAAGGAAAAAGAAAGAATCTCTGAGAACTACTCTGATAAGTCAGATGTGGAGAATGCGGATGAATCCAGCAGCAGCGTCCTTAAACCCCTCAGTGAGTACTCCCTCCCTGGATATTTGTCTTTTTGCTGCCTCTGTCCCACATCCTCAAGGAAGACACTTTGTAGGATCTTGTGGCTAATAGGGAGGGACACAATCCTACCGGGATGGTCTCTGAAGGATAATGTCTATGGAGAGTCTTTTCTTGTTTCAGCAGGTTGTTCTAGGAGGAGATCTGGTAAGATTCTGAAAAGTTTCAGCACACTTGGGTAGTCTACATTTTGACTCGTGAAATAAAGCAGAGTGTTATACATGGTATTTAGCTACAGTAATCAGTAGTCACTGGAAGACTCAAAGGAATTTTTAGATTGCATTTGCTTAGAAATAGGTTCTATTGAGACAGTAGGTCAAGATGAGAACCGTATCTCACATATAGACATACATATATACATATATATATATATATGACATTGATGGGGTTATAGATGACATTTAACCAGGCTGGTGATTTAAAAAGGAAAAGTAGAAAAGCATCCTGTAAGTCAGAGAAGAATGTAAAGGGATATACTTCTTAAAATGTTGAACATATTAAATATCATACATTGGATAGAAGTGTTATTAAGAACAAGGTAGTAAGAGGTCAGAGAACACCCACAGATTCAATGGATAGGATGGACAGTGTGTTCAGATGTGTGCTCTTGCTTCTTTTGATGTGGAGGATATTTGGCTATCTGGGGAGCCTTGTGGCTGAAGCAGGAATGAATATGTGAAGTAGAAGGGAGAAGCAGTAGAAACACATGCCAATTTTGGGACATTCTCCAACAGGAGCTACATAGTGACAGCTTTGCATGTTGGCAGAGCTTGGTACACTCTTCATCTTTTTGCTACAGTTGCAGAAATATGGAACCTGTAATAAAATGCATTATGGGTGGCACAGATAAAGATCCAGCTCAGTCATTGCAGGTGATGAGAGGCCAAATTAGAATTAACAGCTCGGGAGTGTTGAAAAGTGAATTTACAGAGTTAAATTAAAAAGGGTGTGAAGTGTAGTGATGTGAATCTGTGAATCTCTTACAGTCTCACCACTGAAACCGAGCAGGTGGCTTAGAAGCTAGTGAGGTACTATCGTAAAAGGGGCAGTACAGATGGACCATCAAATTAGAGAGCAAAGGTTACAGGAAGGCTTGGAGATAGACCATAAAATTAAAACTTAAAGGTATTAGAATAAATGGAAGACAGAAAGGATTACAGGGCAGGAGATAAGAATTCTGTGCTTTTTATTAGAGTGTTGGGGGGGGGGGAAGCCTTTTGAAAGGAATCCTTCATATACAGACTAAAATAATGGGATCTGTTTCAAGCAAAGTCCTTGAAATGCAGATAAAAAAGGTCACAGTTAATAGTCTGCAGGAACAAAAGATAACACCCTTTTCCAAATAAATTACTACTGTGTATCTCCATTTGCTGTCTGTTTTGGTGAAGCCTGTGCCAAAACAAGAGGTTCTCTCCCGTGTGTGTGTGTGTGTGTGTGTGTGTGTGTGTGTGTGTGTATGTGCACGCGCGCAAGAGAGAGAGAGGGAGAGGGGGAGAGAGAGAGAGATCTCCCTCTTGCCCTCTGTCTCTAAGTCATCTCTCATTTTGCAATTTATGAACAGGAGTGCATCATCAGTATACATACTAAAAAGATAAAAATGCCCACCTAGACAAATGGGCCAATGGATTTTGGGATAATTATGTATGTGCCAGCTTTTTAGGAAGGGCAACAGAAACAATGCCAGTAACCTTCAAGTGGTTAACAGGGAACGAACAAATCCGAAAGGTAGTGAGACTGTGCATCAACCATGGCAGGGGAAAAGGGGGCAGTTGCTTTCTGTGGCTTTTGGGAACCAGTTTGAGCACAGCACGTAAAATAAACAAGGCAGTCCGTTCTCTTTACCCTCAGAGGTCTTCTCCCTGGGGGCACTGCATTGTTTTGTATACCCAGTTTCTGAAGGAATCATACGGAGAGACTATTTTTAAGGACCCAGTTGTTCAATGATCATAAGAAAATTAATCGTAAATGTGCCTTTTATAGTTATTTACTTGGTAGCCAATAAGTTATGCTGTAATATCCCTTGATGTATTTGACATGAGTCATCCAATTTGACATGAAGATCCTCTTGGAAGTTTATATTATCTCTGCTGCTTATCGTGGAGACAGATGGATTGGTAGCTGGTTTCTCTGGAGCACTTGTATGTAAAAGTCAGAATTGGTGCACCCACATATAGAAAGGCTTTTAACCCTAGGTTTTGGGGGGAAGCTATAGGGCTCTGGCACCAGCATGACAATAAAATTCTCATGGGAGAATTCACTGAAATCTCTGCCTAGTATGCCATTATTGCGTCTCAAAGACAACCACACACTGTTTCTGTTATTCTTTGGTCAGGGTGTTTGAGTGACTTATGCATATAGACATACCATGTCCCATAGATCAGATGCCTGCATGAGCCTGACTTCCTGTCAGGTGATGGCTGTCACCTGTGGGAAGACCCCATATATGAGTGGAGTAACTTGATGAGAACCCTCTCTGGTTCTTTCCTTGCTGTCGCCCTGATATACAACCCATCAGTGACTTTTATTGGTTCTACTTCTAAAATAGATCTGAATCTGTCTACACCTTTTCAGTTTAACTGCCACATTCCGGTCCAGGGAATCATCCTCTCTTGCTTAAACCATTGCGACAAACTCCAGTGTTCAAGTCTGTTTCCACACGGCAACGATAATCACCATAAAGTATAAATCGCCTTATGCCGCTCCTCCGCTGATTTCCTGTTGTCCTTAGAATAAAATTTTGGTTGGGCGCCATGGCCTAAAGGGTCTCACCAGTCCTGTTAGGTGCCATTCTCGTCTTGCTCACTTTACTGCGGCCACACTGACTTCTCAGTCCCTTGGTGCTCAAACCTTTTCTGCCTCAGGGGCCTTTGCACGGCATAGTCCTGTCTTCCTGGAATGGTCACCCTGCTCTTGTCCTTGTTAGCTTTTCTCTCTCTGCATGTCCTAGCTGTTAAAAATGATTATTTATTTATTTTGAGAGAGAGAGCATGCGAGCGAGCAGGGGAGGGGCAGAGGGAGAGAGAGGGAGAGAGTCCCAAGCAGGCTCCACACTGTCAGCACAGAGCCTGATGTGTGGTTTGATCTCATGAACTTTAAGAACATGACCTGAGATGAAGTCAAGAGTTGGATGCTTACCTGATTGAGCCACTGAGGCGCCCTTATGGTCTAGCTTTTAGATGTTATGGAGACAGGCCTTTTCCGATTACTCTATCTAATGCAGTTTCTCGAGTGTCATTCTTTCTCAGCTCCTTCTTCCCTTCATACTACATGCTTAACCAATGATTTTGTGAGCCTGCACCTTTGTCTTGTGCTAATGCTAGATTCTTAGCTTCATGAGTGGTAGGATCAGATTTGTCTTGTTTGGTATGTTATTTCTGGAATCTAGCACAGTGCCTGACACATAGTATGTGCCTAATAAATGCTTATTGAAAGGTAACTGGATTACTGCAGAGGAAGACATAAACGTTTTTATTGGTCTGAATATTTCCCATCAGATAAATATCCAGCTGCCTTTCTTGTTTTTGATCATTGCACATCATCTTTATATTTCCCTGCTCTGTCTTATTCCCTCTCCATATAAAATCTGGTCCTAACTTTTAATTATTCCACTTTGGAAAGTGCTGCATTATTTTAACTATTGCTAACATGGTATTTTGGTCTGGGTAGATGACTGCTGAGTATGTTGTTGCTTGTTGCCCACAACTGATGGAAGAAATTCATCCACAGGGCACATGGATTTATCATGTACACTTAAGAATACTCAGTATATTCCACACAGAATTTGGGCAGCACAGAAGCCATCTTAAAGAGGCATGGAACTGAATCGTTAAGGGCATTTAGAAGAAGAAATAAACCAATTATCTTCCAGTATTTAGGCACATCAGGAAGATGGCATAATTAACAGGTTCATTTAGCTCATAACAGAGATGCTTTTTCTTTTCTCCATGGCACTCATGTCAAGGCAGGGCTTCTCCAAAGTGAACGCATGTTTTGATTCCCACACATCTGGAGCTCGTAGGAGGAGCTAGATTTGTTTGCCTGAGTTTGGCAGCAGCGCCGAGTCAAGTCCTTACAACTGTTCTTCCCAGTGTGGTGTCCGAGCTCCCGCCCAGTTTGGGACACAGAGAAGGAAATGCATGTGAGAAGGTGTGGCTCACTGAGCACCCGTGGGAGAGGCTAGGGAAGAAGAGTGAAATGGAAGAGCAAGCAGGAGGAGAGACAAGGGAATGAGGAGGTGGTGTGGAGTGGGTGGTGGAGAGAAAAGTTAGATTGTGCTCTTTCTTAAAAATAATCCTTTTTGCCTCCTCCACCGTGCACTTTTTTTTTTTTTTTTAAGTTAGCAGCTGCCATCTCTGAGGGTTGCCCAGAAAGTGGGTGGGAAGGTGGTCTTTGATGAGGCAGGTCCTAGAAACAACACAACTTCCCACCATAGATGGTTTTAACCTCTGAATGTCTCATTTGATTAGTGTCCTGGGATAATTGGGTGGGTGGGGGTCATGGAATCACCGGCCACTTTGTGAATGCAGAGACTCTGAAGATGTGTAAAGTGTTAGGAAACAGAGCTACAAACAGAATGTGCTGTTCAGCATATTGGTCTGATGTGTAATATATTTCTTGACAAGCTTGAACATGCATCGGTGCTGGGAGGTGCTAACTGCTTCTCACACATATGACTTGTCTGTTGTGGAGTCGTATTGCTAGGTATGTGCATATAGACACTCACTCAGTCTTGCGACATTCTGTTTTTAGCTCTTTGGATATGTACCAAAACTGATGGGTTTATGCTAGTGAACATTGTTCTGTGAGCTGGGAACAATGGATGCCAGTTGGTGATCCAGTTATATTCAGGAAACTGAAACAGAGAAATGGGCAGCTGCTTTTGTTTGGTCCTTCCGGGTAAACGAACAGAGTACCTTTTCATGTGAGCCAAGATTATTTGGGGTTTTGTCATCTGACTTCCCCTT